ATACACAGCAGGTACCTGTGGTGATGCTGTAGACAGTGAGGACTCTCCTCCTCCTCCAGATACACAGCAGGTACCTGTGGTGTTGCTGTAACCAGTGAGGACTCTCCTCCTCCAGACACACAGCAGGTGCCTGTGGTGATGCTGTAGCCAGTGAGGACTCTCCTCCTCCAACTTTGAGGATGGCTCTGACAGAAAGTCTCAGCTAGTGTGATAGCACACTTATCAGAGATTCGGAAGCAGGCAGGTGCAATTACCATAGGAAACACGCACGCACCTGATATAGTTTGGCCCTTCACGTAGCCCCCAGTTAATCTAAGAAATAATATCTTTTCATGAAATTCGATAGGGATATAATAAATACTTGTAACACAGCCATTTTATTAATGTGCAAGTGCATGCACACCGATCTCCAGCACCACCAGTCACTCGTTGTTTGCTGTAGTGGACAGCAGAGGGTGGAGCAGTATTGCAGATATTTCATGTTTCCTCAGTGTGTTGCCACTAGGGACTGCAGAGCTGATCATTGGTTAAAAGAATATTATTGAAAAATACAGAGCACTGATAATCAACATGCCCCTTCATTAAAAGCCAGGTCCTGGATCTCCTCTAGTGCTCTAAAAGCCTGCAGGCTGGGTTTGCTCCACCCACAATTCAGAGCAGTTATGTTTCTGTAAAGACACAGGTCTTGTTCACACCAGACACGGTTTCTGGGTCACTGCAGCTGTCATGTATGAGCTGCACAGAGCTGGGTGAAGTTGCTTGGAAAGTAATCCTTCAGTGGTTTCATCTTGTCTTTGCAAACTGGGTAATTCCCATGGGAGAGAATGCTCTGTGCCAGACTGAGGATGTTACAACGCTGTCTGTCCTGTATCTCACTCCGGTAATAATGCCTCGTTGGGACTAAAGTGCCAGCTGGGCTGCTGCAGGGTTACAGGCAGAAACATGAAGGATGAAACCCGGGGAGGTTCAGGGCTTCACTCACAACGACACACCGAGCCTGAGGCAGAGCTGTGGCTTCGAGGCCCTTGGACACCTGAGCGTTTTCTTTCCGGTACTCGGCGTTCACAATAAAAACACATCGGAATGAGACTTTCTCAATGCTTTATTAGGTACAGACGCAGTCAGAGCCGGGTGCAGGGATGGAGATCACAGCAGAGGACCACCCCAGCGAGACAGTCAGCAGAGCAGGAACATGCACAGGGTCAGTAAGACAGCAGGGGTCAGAGGTCAGACATACACATGAACACATACAGGCACATCGGAGAGCGCGGCATCAGCCGCCCGTAGCTGTCAGTACTGCTGGCAGGCCTGAGGCCCTGCTGACGGCTGCTGAGTCCACTGTAGCTGAAGACAAAGATCTTTTCTTTTGGGGTTAGAGGTCGTTGTCCCGCATGAACAGTGGGCGTGGGTGTCAGCAGCAGTATTGTCAGGGTCACGGGAAGGAAGGGAGTCAGTAACAGGGCCAGTATCGAGGTCAGTGGCAGTACTGACATCAGTAGGCAGGCTGTGTTGGGCGGTATGCTACAGTGGAGGTGTCAATATGCAGTGCGATGTCCTCTAGTCTTAGATCACTGCTGTGCTCAGGCTGTTAATCAACAGCCACGTGTTTGAGGATTAAAGGTCATTGTTAGAAACAGTATGGGGATGGGGATGAGGGTCAGGGATAGCGGTCAGTAGGGTGGACAGAGCAAAGGCCAGGACAGTTATTTTCAGCAGCAGTGTTAGGGTCAGGGATAGCGGTCAGTAGGGGGGACAGAGCGAAGGCCAGGACAGTTATTTTCAGCAGCAGCAGTGTTAGGGTCAGGGATAGCGGCCAGGACAGTTATTCTCTCTAACCCTGGTTGCACTCTGCTAGGCTCACGCTCCTGGTCAGCGGGGAGCTCAGTGCTGGGTGGCTCAGCTGGCAGGAGAAGGAGTGCCCCGAGCTCCACTGGGCAGCGGTCAGTGACATGAGGCTGGTGAGAGAGAAGGTGCCGTCGGGCTGGCGCTGGGCCGCGCTGGTCTGGACCGCGGCACCGCTGCGCGCCTGGCCATCCTCCGCCCAGGACACGCTGACCGAGTCGGGGTAGAAGCCCTGCGCCAGGCACACCAGGGTGGCACTGCCACGCTCAGACAGCTCCCGCTGGGAGGGGGGCATCAGGGTCAGCGTGGGGGGGCTGGAAGACTGGCCACCTGGAGGAAGAAACCATACGCTTCGTCGTCATGCTGATCATCATCTTCATCTTCACCACCATTCTCATTTGCTTTGTAAACCTACAGCAGTCAAGCAGCGAAGAAGGGCTTTCTGCTGGGCACTAATCCCAACAGCCAACACCCGGTTTGCACATAATTTCATTTTGTAATTAAAAAGTCACTGAAAACAGAATCACAATGAAGTCCAAAAAAGGTTTATACAGGTAAAATGTTCAGCCAGACGATTCTCACCTTACCAAAAATATTCATCACGTTTATTTTTTAATTTTTATTACTCATTAATATCATGGCTGGCTGTCCATCTGTCCCTATATAATATTGCTCTTTGGACTTTCCAAGAGGTTCTGAGAAACCAAGAGCTAATTATCCCAGCTTCTCAATGTACACACCATTCTTTCAGTACTAACCGTGGTCTCAAAAACTTGAGATCTCACCTAAAATCACAAAGGATAGCGGACAATGAGCACAGCTTCCACATTAATTAGACATGAATATTGATGTGAAGCTCTTGAGAGACCGAGTGCCTTTTCATGTGTGAACTACCTGGCAGAAAACTGTCCCGTGTGTGTATTAAAAGGGGAAATAGACTTGGAATATATTTATATTATGTACAATATAATAGACATTATATGTTATATTTTATAAATTATACAGTTTATGTGCTGCATCGAACTTCTTTTAACATCTCAAGAATACACCTTAGCATTGACTACGGGCTGTTTTGCATGCGGTGGCGCTGGTAATGGTATGAGACACAAGCAGACTGTTTCAGGTCTCGTCAGAAGACCGAACGGTCACCCTGATGCCTCTGACCATTGGCTGTCACTGTCCTGTGGATTAAAGATCGGCCACAGCAGGAGGGCTCTCCAGCCCAGCGCCAGGGCTTCGATACGAGACACAAACATCAATCGAGTTGCATTTCCTAGTCATAGTAAGGTTAAGGTTTTGAGGTGGGTTCCTAATGACGATTACAAACAAAACTCCGCTTTCCTAGTGTGGAAAGACATTCCCATACAGTGAGAAAAACAGTTAATTTCAGGGCTATCCGGTCTAAACTACTAATATCTGGTGTCCGATCAAAAGCTAGAACCACCTCTTTAGAGTAAATTTTAAATATAAAAATGGAAAAAATAAAACTGTCGGTTTTCTATTGTCTTGGGTTCAGATTGTGGGACCCTCAACAGCCCTGCTGAATGCTGAATAACTGAATGTGTGTGGTTTTTGGAGAAAGAAAACAGAAAGGGAACATCCACACTTAGAACAGTACAAAGGTGAAACGCCTCTCTGCAGAGTGTGTTTAGAATCTTTATCTACTTTAGAGTCATGACCTACTCTAACACTGGCCGTCGAAAAGCAGAAAAATCTTGTAAATTGCTCAGGGACAGATTTTGTCTCTGTTTCTGGCACTCCTGTGGAGATCAGGCTCAAGGACCGGGTACGCTCACTCACCGACATCAAGCCTCGTTCCCCCTCCAAAGACTGTCACCCCCACAGTGACACAGAGCCGTACAAAAACCCTCAGACACAGATCAGGCTGCACCTGTCTTTCATGAGCTCTCAGCTCACTGCAGACACTGGGCATAGGCAGATTCAGACCCCAGATACCATCTCTCTTCGAGTTAAGAACACTTGCTCACAACAAATGGGTCGCTTGCTCCAGATCCTCACAAGCCTTTTCCAGTGTCAGTCCACCCCTCTGCAGCTTGCACTTGTGTCCTGTGGTTTCTCTGCTCATTCTGAAGAAGAGCACTGGGCGACCTTTGTCAGTGACTTTACTGTACTTGTATCAGGTTCCCTTGTAGTCTTCTCTTTAAAGAGTCTGAGATTGAAACAGTTCGGGACAGTCCTTTAATCCCACAATGTATCTGGTTGCTCTTCTCTGCACAAAACAAACGGTAACCAATCTCCCTCTTTTCTAAAAATGCACCCACTCAGCAGGAGAGGCCATTTTAACCAATTCTGCACTCAGGAAGTCCAAGTTCCCTAAAAACTAAAGAATAAAAAGCTCTCTGAGCTGGGTTCAAATACTTGGCTCCAATCGGATAATCTGGAACAAGTACCTCTTGCCTGGCACATGCTCTTTGTTCTGTATGTTCCTCATGTCTCCTCTCTCTCTCCTGGACTATTCTTTCCTTTTAATTCAATTCAATTCAGTTCAAGGTGCTTTATTAGCATGACCGATGGGTACAATCAGTGTTGCCAAAGCAGATAAAAATAATGATATTCACATTAAACAAAACAAAAAATAAAAGTAATTTTAAATCTACAGACATATTACAACAAAGACATATTATAAAATATTGACATATACTGTCTTGATCTGATCTTATATGGTGTCTCTCTGGACTGTTGAGTGACACTTAATCATTTACCCCAAACTTAATTAACTAAGGTAACCCAAAGTAAACGGATTGCTTTGATCACAGACTCTGAACCCCCTACATCTCAACAAACATCCTCTTTGCTTTGAGGCTGGAAATGTTTACGCTGCCAGCTGTTTATACTTATCTAGACTCCTACAGACACTTCCTAGTCACGTTTAGCTGTAACAATATACAGTACATATATACACCGCTGTTGTAAATCCTTAGAAATCGTGCATTGTCCTTCAAGCAGAAACACACTCGGTGCCCCTGTCTGTGTGGAGTCTGCATGTTCTCTCTGTGGTCTTGGGATTTCACTACTAGAGTCTCCTGCCCCACAGCTCCCAGGCTGTATTCCAGCTTTGAGGTCCTGTGTGTGTGGAGTCTGCATGTTCTCTCCATGACCAGGTGCTCCAACAACTTCCCACCTCCCAGAGACAGATTTCATGACCAGTGACTAAGGCACTGACTTAAAGCAACAGAACCTGGGTTTGATACCAGGTTCTGATTCTGAGGTTCTGGTGATCTGGTGACTTTACTGATTAGCTGACAATGAGTCAATTAGCAGTGTGAAGTAGAAGTAAGGTTTTGGGCCCTAGATCGACAGATCTGGGTTCATATCCGGGTGATATCACTCACATTACTGTACCTGCTAGTAAACGCCCTCCCTTGTTAATTAAAGTTTTCCGAGTTGTCATCGTAAGTAAGATTCTGATATCAGTGTAAGTTGTACAATGTATTTTAAAGATGGAGAGGGTTGGTCAATGTAATGGTTTTGGATTATCTACTACATCACTTCATATTGACTCTTGACCTTGAGCTGCTGTGACCACAGATTTGTGAAGGCTGCAATCAGTCTGTAAATTGCTAGATGATAAGATAGGTTTCTCCTCACCCTAACTATGCTGTATAAATAACAATGAGAGTTATGATCGTACAGTACACCACAGCAGGCTTTGAGTATGCTGCTGATGCTCCTAACACACCCATGTTGTAAGTCCTGATTGTGGTTAAGATTAGTGCTCATGAGTGTACAGTACATATTCGTCAGCTTGTTAATGTTAATGAGTGTTAATAATAACAGCAACAGAAGCAATAATAAATATCACTCACCCAATCTGATCAGTTCACAGCAATCCCCAATCCTGTGACAATATCCGCAGTGCAGGACCTGGCTGTTGAGGAATTCTTATTATTAGGATCTGGAAGGCCTTAATCCTTTGAAGGCCTGAGGTAGGACCAGTACAGTCTCAGCAAAGGCTCTGTCTTCTCTCCATTGTACTACTGCAGTCACTTTCTGCAGGCTGTGTGTTTCTCCACTGTACTGCAGTCAGTCTCTGATGGCTGTGTAGTCTTCCCCATTTCACTGCCCCGCTGCAGTCAGTTTTTGTACGGCCGTCTCTCACCGATGTCACACTGTGGTAGTCTGAGGGACAGCCGTGGCAGGCGCAGTAGTAGGTGGCCTCGTCCTCCTGCTGAACGCTGGCGATGTTCAGATATTCCATTTTGCCAGAGGACTCTTCAGAAGCAGTAAATCTCTCTGGCGTTCCAGACCCTCGGGTTGAGTCATACAGAAGGAACCGAGGAGCACTGCCGGTCTTCTGCTGGTACCAGGTAATAACCCAGCTCCTGTGACTATCAATAGCACAGGATATTTTAGCCGAAGCTCCGGGAGACACAGACAGAGATTTCTGCTGGGTCATCACAAGTCCCTGGGAGCCTGTGAGGGAACAGAAGTGGTTTTAATTCATAAAACATACATCACAAACTCACAAACCTTTCCCATTACCCTGTCAGTAAATGTCACAACAAGAGGCAAATTAATGATCTACTGGCCTTCTGAAGAAAAACCAAGGACACTGAAGAGTCTTTGTAAAATGAGTAAAATGTTGGATAATGCCCAGGTAGCTAACCAGGAGTCACAGTTCATACCTCTGTAGATTTATATTCAACACAGTGGAGTTCAGTAACTAGCAGTCAATTGCTTGCTGTGCTGTTTAGAAGATATTATAAATGTAAGATTGAGTGTAGAGGTAGCTCTTACCAGGGAGAGCGAGCAGCAGGGCTGTGAGGAGAGCTGTGCTGAAGACCATGGCGTCTGACAGGACTGCTGAGGCTCTGGAGCTGCGATGGGACAACAGGACTGATACACCGCCTATTTAAAACAGCTCAGCCCCCTGGGAACACAGACAGACCCTCCCACCCGGGGTTTCACAATCTTCCACCAGGTTTCAATTCACTGATTTTCCACATGGGGAACTGAATCAAAGACTTATTGCAGAAACGTGCTATCACACACTGCTAAATTCACATTCTAATCAGACAAGGGGAGTACCAGGATAGTCAACGTGAAGCCTTTTAGCTAGCAGGACTAGGGACTATCATGCTGTGAAAGAGAGCTGTCATCCATAATAATGTAACACATACGGCCAACATTACAGGTTGTGCGATCTGCCAGCGTGGTGACGTCACCGCCCTTCCCTGTGAATAGCAGGGACCTCAGCCGCCGCCACTGGGGGGAGATCTCCCTTTAGCTCAACTGGCTGGTTCCCTGTTGAGTGATGCCGGAGGCTCGGGTTTGAGTCCCCGGTGGTGGGGGGCCGACCTGAGGCGGGAGCGGTGAGGGCACATACCCACGTAAACCCGAAAGCACTAAAATAATAATAATTTCTTATACTTACATAACACTTTTTCTGGACACTCCACTCAAGGGGATTTACAGGTAATGGGGACTCTCCTCCACCACCATCAATGTGCAACCCCACCTGCCATAGTGCACCAGTGCACTCCCCACACACCAGCTCTCGGTGGGGAGGAGAACAGAGTGAAGAAGCCAGTTCAGAGAAGGGGGTTATTAAGAGGCCAAGACTGGTAAAGGCCAATGGGACATTTGACCAGGAAGTCAGGGTAATACCCTTGCTTTTCATCAGAAACGCCCTGGGATTTTTAATGACCACAGAGAGTCAGGACCTCAGATTGACATCTCATCAGAAGGACAGCACCTTTTTACAGTATAGTGCCCGCGTCACTATAGTGGGGCAATAGGACCCACACAGATTGCAGACGAGCACCCCCTACTGGCCCCACTAACACCTCCTCCAGCAGCAACCTTAGCTTTCCCAGGTGGTCTCACATCCAGGCACTGACCAGGCTCACACCTGCTGAGCTTCTGTGGGCTGCCAGTTGTGAGCTGCAGGGTGATGCGGCTACTTGCATACGTCTTCATCCTATGGGTTCATATGGCTGCATCAATGGGTTCACTTATCTAATTCTATCTAAGTTACAGTACTTCCCTCTGGTTTGGAGGTATACTATATATCAAAAGAACCGGCTGTAAATAAAGGAAATTGGTGTTTTTAATCTTTTAATACAGAACAAAAGGGCCAATTGACACGAAATGTTTCAAGAGAAAGGAAGCAATTCAGCTAGCCTTGCTCATTTGATAACTAATGTCTAATCCATCTCAATATATAATCAAATTGTGTCTTTGCTCCGGAAGCAAAATTCAATTAAATGGCTAATAAAGTTTTTATTTTCTTAGAAAACTCCCTTATCCAGGGTGAAACACAATATTTAAAAAGATGTGCAACAAGGGTTAGGACGCACATTACAAAATCTACCATAAAATAACATGATAATAAAGCTGCATTAAGGTATTAGTAACAGAAAAATTTAATCATGCCCTGGTAGTGTGGAGTTAAGTAATGTAGACACCTCAGTAGTAACAGACAAATATGAATATGCCCAGGTCATGTAGAGCAAAGGTGGTAATGCAGACAACCCCATTAGTCAGTAATATGATAATAGGACATGCCCAGGCAGTGTGGAGTTAAGGTGGTAATGTAGACACCTCATTAGTAAAAGAACAATAGGAGGATGCCCAGGCAGTGTGGATTAAGGTGGTAAACTAGACACCTTATTAGTAAAAGAACAATAGGAGCATACCCAGGCAGTGTGGAGTTAAGGTAGTAATGTTGACACTCCATTGGGAACTGTCCAGTGTTCACTGTGAATACTGTGAAACTGTTTTACTAGGTTAATTAAGGGGGGAGTTTAGTGAGGTCAGATTGCACAAGGCAAGAGTGGGGTTCAGCCAAGGTACAAGGGTTAACAACCTTCTTTTACTGCTCTTATGAGCAGCCCTGGGATGGGAAATTATCACACACAGTAAATACATTGGTTTAACTCTCATCTAAAAGACCTCCAGCATAACAGAGTCCCTGGTCTCCATACTGGGGTGCTAGACTGGAAATTCTGCTCCAGATGGAAGAGCACCACCTACTGGTCCAACAAGACCCCTTAGAACAGCAACCTGATCTTCCTCGGAGGCCACCTGTCCCAGTATCGACCAAGCCCATCAGTAATGACCAGGCCCACCAGTACCAATCATGCCCATCATAACTGACCAGGCCCACTAGTACTGAACAGGTCTATCTGTACGAACCAGACCTACCAGTATCAACCAGTCCCATCTGTAGAGTCCAGGCCCACCAGTACTGACCAGGTCTGACAGTACCAACCTTGATCACCAGTACAGACCAGGCCCACCAGTATCATCCTGGTCCACTAGTACCAATCAGGTCCACCAGTATTGAACAGGTCCAATAGCACCAATCTTGCCCAGTACTGACCAGGTCCACCAGCACTGACAAAGCCCACCAGTACCGATCATTTTTCGGCTGGTTCTGAAACAGTCTATACTCCTGTTGCTTCACTTGACTCACGACGAGCTGTGGGAGGTGTGTTGGGCAGGGCGAGATCCTGTTCTTTCACTGTGGACCGAGGATCATCAGAGGGGAAGGGAATACTGAGAATCAGGACATTGGAAAAGCAATTGGCTCAAAAAATAACTCTCAAAAGAAATGCCACTGCATGAAGAAATGGAAAAGAAGCTGTAAGTGTTGTGGCCAGAGCTGAAAGCCCAGACATCCAAGCTTTTATGCCTTATATGGGGTGAGAAACGACGGTTAAAATCTTTACTGGTGAGCGATGACAAGACTTTTATTTTATTTTTATAATGAAGTCATTGTGGTCCAATCAATGACATACCAGTCAGACCCTTACCTCTCTCTTCTGTTTCTTATCTTACAAGGTCCCTATGGCTTGAATAGGGGAGGAGGCGGGAGACCCCAGCTTGTCCAGGGTGCAGATGGACCCCAAAGCTAAGTGGGTAAAGGGTACGAGATGAACGACCACTGCTGAACTCGGCATCTTATTCTCTGGGGGATTTTCCAACTCAGGAGCTGTGAAGTGCGAGCAGGTCAGCGATCCAGCTGTGGGTATGGCTGTCAGAACGTGGGCGCGGAGTTTCAGTTCCTCTGTGGCTCACAGCTGCTCTCTCGTACTGGAGTGTTTCTGGCAAGGGACAGTCCCTGCCACAGCCACCGTGCCAAATATAGACCGGCTTCCAAGACTCTGTGCAAATTAGGGGCAGCAAGTTGCAACAGTAGACACGAGAATAAGATTTATATAACTATATTGACTACATTTTATATTCAGGACAATACAATTTTGTTTTCTTAGCACCATTCCTGCTTAGGAATGTCAAAAAACTCACAATATTAAAAACAAGAGTCTTCGAAGCAAAAGCACGCTGCAGTTACAACGCATTAAACAACACATCGTGATTTCTTACACAGAGTGAACATTCATTCGTTAATCGTCTGTCCCTCTCTCCCACGGCCCCCTGTGACTGACTGGAGCAGGAGTGTCTCGGGAGACCTCAGGCTCGGTACTGAGCCACGCGCTCGTGGTGACATCTCTCCAGTGGTCTTGCCTTACTTCCTTGATCTTACGGCCTTGATCTCTGACAGGCTGATATTGATCTTGCTTTTCCGCAGGTTTCTTCCACTTCTCGGAATGGCCTTTAACTCAGCTGCACTAGACTAGGCCCTCACTAGAAATATCACCGGATTGAGGCACTGCGTGGGAGAAATTACAGGGCTCGGCCATCGACGTGTCCAGGCACAAGAAGCAGTCAGAGGCAGCTGAAGCAGCCCTCTCACACAGAGGGGAGAGAACTGGGACTGCCTGTTGTGTCCGGAGCTCTGCTAGCCTGGAGCTCGGCGATGATATATATACTGTATATATCCCAACATTAAATCTCCTGCCGGAACTAACGAGCTCAGGGACGTCTGATTGAAGGACTTTCAATCTAGACTACAGACTGCAAAACACAGGTAGCACTATATATATGACATTGGTTCTCATTCTAAAAACCTTATAAATGGTTTATGGATCATATTAATAAGAGGTGCCCCAGTTTGGAGTTGAACCCAGAATTCAAGAGCAGTGAGGAAGCAAGACAAACTGCCTATTCATAAAAGTAATTAATTTCAGCTGTATTGTGTCAAAAATGTCAGGACATATTTCGGTTATTGCATATTGCATAGTATAAATGAAGAGGTCTTGTGTTCAAATTATATACAACTGCACTATCAAGGTCTCATTTACAGTATTGCCTACATTTGTTTATCACCACATCAGAACGATATTGACGCTGAGAAATAAATTCTAGAGAAGAGTAAATACAAATATTTTATACAAAGAGGCTGAAGGGAAAGAATATGTTCAGTCTTGAACTAAAGTACTGTAGCATTCTCTGTAATCGCTCCGTCATCATGCGGTCCCGTTCAGTTCTTCACATTTAGGCCCTCACCAACATGGCTGCGCGCACACGGCATTCTGGGAGGTGGGAGCGCTCCGCTGTCTGCGTGTCTTTATTTACACACCAGTGCGGGGAGGCTACTGCGGATAGCATGGCGAAAAGGAGACAGGAAAAAGTCAGCATTGCCACAGAGGTCAGTCAGCACTGGATTCTGATTCGGGGGAAGGCGGTTTACTCAAAGACTTTAGCCTTACAACTTTATTAGCGCTTGCTGCACGACGCGTGTTTCTGCTGTAGCCACATGGGCACAGCACCGGAGGAGAAGACGAGATGAGAGTCGGAGCTAGGATAGGCAAGCAGTGTGTGCATGTACTCCTTTCTCAGTTGTATTTAATGAGAACTGCGTGTCTGTAGCTGTCTGTCTTGCGTATAGCAATGCAACACCTGGTGTATCTATGTTGCGGTGTGAATCCGGAAGTGTTGCTTCGCTGCGGTCAGTCCTGGGTCAGCTGAGGAGATCCGGTGCGGCCGCACTGTGCCTGTGTGCAGGAGGCGACAGGGCCCGTGTCCGGTACAGAGAAGAGTCACTTCATAACCGCATCAACCTCGCTTCAGATCCGTGTTTGTCAGAGCAGTTTAACTCAAGGCAGTAAGCAAAGCTTTAAACTGTGACCGGCAGTTCATTGGAAAGACAAGGTCGCCCCCCAGTGGAATGTCTGCTAATTGTTGCTCCGTCGCTCGTTTTAAACCAAAAATGTGTATAAATGGTCGATTTACGAAAACGGGGGAAAATACGAAAATGTAATCTTTAAATGAATATACTTTTGTCAGAATGGTTACCCATGGGCTGGGTACTGTACAGGCCAGTGGGAGATCATACAGACTGCAAACCCGTATTGACTCCACCACAGGTCCGTCCGAGAAGAAATGTTTCAAACCGAGCCTGTTACCTTGTTGTGAGCATGTTATCGACAGTGTGGCTTTTATGTTTAAGGTGTTACACTGATGTTCTGCCATATCATGAACTCTGGCCAGAGAGAATCCCAACCCTCTGGGCTACTTCTTTACCCAGCTGAGATCCTCCAGTCAGGACAGAAGGCACTTCTTTACACAAAGGGTGGTGGGAGCTTGGAAGAACTTACCCAGCCACGTTGTCAAAACCGATACCGTGGTTTCTTTCCAGGTGTGTGTGAGATCCTGGGATTAATTAACTCCTAACTGCCCGATGGGCCGAATTGTGACTTTTCCTGACCTTTGCTTTCCTGTGTTCTTATGAATACTTTTCTTAGTTTTTGTTCTGTTGTTACACCCACATTCCTGATATGATACTGAAAATAAGGAGGATGTTCAATGATAAAAATCATGTGGCATTATAAGGGAAGCACTTTCACTGTAGTGAAAATGGCATCGTACAGTGAAAAACACCTGTTAAAATACTTGCTGCATTGTCGCAAAAATAAATATCCATCTAGCATTTGTATGGCGTGGGGTGAGTGTATATACAGTAGTTGCTATTTTATTATTGCCAGTGGAACCAGAAATGACATTAGCTTGAATTAGATTTCTCGACAGTCTTCTTTGTGAGCATGTTATGCTCATTGTCATGTTTTCAAGAGAGTAGATTTCTGTAATGTACCGTAAGCACAACTTAAGTCAATGTTTGACTTTAATAATGCAAAAACATTTGAGACTATGATTATGTATTAGTACGTTTTGCTAAACTGGCAACTAGTGAAGACACGAAGACTTATTACTTTTTAAGGGGAAGTATTTTGTTTTAAAATAATATAAACACATACAAAACATTTTTCCCAGTAGGTCAGATTCTTTCGTGACATCAAAATTGATGTTTTCCCAAAACCTGAGATTAATCAAGCACTACCTGCTCTTAGGTTAGATGATGATAACCAACAGATGTAATGTGATGACAGGACTGAAGTAATTGGATCAGTGCCGGTTCTTCGGTCAGGAATCTGGGATCACTCTGAGTCTTCAGGAGGTCATGTTGACTGGCTCTCCTCAGTGTGACTGCTGATGGAGTCAGGGCTGTTCCTCCAGTCAGGAATCAGAGTCACTCTGACCTGAGTCTTCAGGAGGTCATGTTGACTGGCTCTCCTCAGTGTGACTGCTGATGGTCCTGGAGTCAGGGCTGGTTCTCTGGTCAGGAATCAGAGTGGCTCTGACCTGAGTCTTCAGGAGGTTGTGTTGACTGGCTCTCCTCAGTGTGACTGCTGATGGTCCTGGAGTCAGGGCTGGTTCTCTGGTCAGGAATCAGAGTGGCTCTGACCTGAGTCTTCAGGAGGTCATGTTGACTGGCTCTCCTCAGTGTGACTGCTGATAGAGTCAGGGCTGGTTCTCCAGTCAGGAATCAGAGTCACTCTGACATGAGTCTTCAGGAGGTCATGTTGACTGGCTCTCCTCAGTGTGACTGCTGATGGTCCTGGAGTCAGGGCTGGTTCTCCAGTCAGGAATCAGAGTGGCTCTGACCTGAGCCTTCAGGTGATCGTGGAAACGTATAGTTATTGTTTTTAGACTCTTTACTACCTAATCTGATAAAGAGTTCTGATTGAGCAATGTTGAAAATCATTTTGTATTATGGTATTGTACCTTTGTTGTATTGTATTATTGTCATATATATGTTTATGAGCTCTTGACATGCTCATAAAGACAAATTCCTTTAGGAGCAATAGAGGTTAATTCAATTTGTGTATGCCATGAAAGATGCTAACTAAAATAGTAAACTTTAACACAAATTTGACTTGCTTTTATGTGGTTCTCAAGGAATGACTTGCATAAGCAAAAAATGATACATTTTATTACAGAAATTTTATTACAAATCCCTTTTGTTGAACTGAGAATATTAGTGAATAAGTAGTCAGTTAATTATACAGCCAAGAGCATTAATGTTTGAAATATTGCCAACGGCCATATCACCCTGCAACTCACAACTGGCAACCCCTTAAAGCTCAGCAGGTGTGAGCCTGGTCAGTACCTGGATGGGAGACCTCCTGGGAAAAACTAAGGTTGCTGCTGGAAGAGGTGTTAGTGGGGCCAGCAGGGGG